ACCTGTAATCCCAGCACTCAGTAGGCTGAGGCAGCAGGATCTTACATTTCAAACCAGTCTGGATTATATAGTTGAGACCCTGTCTCAAAAATTTAAAAAAAAGAAAGAAAGAGAAGATGTTGTATGTTCATGCACCAACGACCATGACGAATGTGATCATTATGTACTACAAACATGCCCTAACAAAAAATATTTTAATTAAATAAAAATAAAAACGTGAGATGTTCATAAAGGTTTTGTTAAGTATAAAGAATGAAATTGCAGCTAGGCATGGTGGCGCATGCCTGTAATCCCAGCACTTGGGAGGCTGAGGCAGGAGGATCCCTGCAACTTCGAGACCAGCCTGGGCTACATAGTGAGTTCCAGGTTAGTCTCAACTACATAGTGAGACCCTGTCTCAAAAAAAAAAAAAAAAAAAAAAAAAAAGAATGAAATTGCTATGCTTTGCTTCTGTGGGAACCAGCGAGTGGTTTAATTTTTTCTCATGCTGTTTTCTGAGAGGGTGCATGCTGCTGAATTTTATGATTTTATAATGTTTCCATCAGTAAACTGAGGAAGTCGGGGAGATGGCGGCGTGTGTTGGCTGATGGAAAGTCAGCCTGCACTCCGTGTTATTCTGTCCTTTCTAAAGCCGAATTCCTCTGCCGTGTGACACAGCAGGCCTGCGTGAGGCTCCGCTAGGCTCTGTAGGAGTGAAGTGGTTTTTAAATAAACATACACGGTGCTCCCGCCCAGCTCTGGATCCTCGTGGACCAGACGCCACCGTCACAAAGCATGCCGTCCTGGCAGCTTCAACAGCAGGCTTGTATTTTCTCCACCTTCTAGAGGCCAGAGGTCTGAGAACAAGGTGCGGACAGGGTTGTTTTCTTCTTTTTTATTTTCATGGTACTGGGGATTGAACCCAGTGCCTTCACCCTGAGCCATTTAATTTTTATTGGAGACAGACTCTCACTAAGGTGCTCGGGTTGAGCTCTAACTTGCAGTTCTCCTGCCTCAGCCTCCCAGAGTGCTGGGGCGACAGGCGTGGGTCCCTGGGTCAAGTCCTCCAAGCCACCTGTCCCTGTCTTCCCCGGTGTTCAGTGTCTTCCCTCCCGACAGCCTCCTCTGCTCAGGACGTGGTGCTGTGGGATTCAGACCCATCCACACTAGGGGCGGTGCGTGACAGTCTGCTCTGTGAAGGCCCAAGCGCAAATGCAGTCTCTGAGGTGCTGGGGCTACTTTACCCCAGCAGCTTTATCACTGCAGGAAAGTTGCATGGGGACAGGGATGGAGCCCTCTGGTAGAGTGCTTGCCTGGCCTGAAGTTGCATTCCCAGCACCAGAAACAAACATGCCTGAGATTCCAGTTCTGGGAGGCTGAGGCAGGAGGGCATTTGCTCCTTCTCCCGATGCCCCAGGAGTAACCTGCGTCCTACAGTTAATCGGGGTCTTTCTCATCCATAACTTTAGGTTGTAACGTATTAACGTTTCCAAAAACAATGTATTGTTTTGTTCCGCGTATTTCAAACATGTACCTAGATGTTACCGAATTGTACACATCTCTGACTGATGGATGATTGATTGACTGACTGAACCCAGGTCCTTACTTCTGCTCTGCTCCCAAGCTACATTCCCAGCCCCACTTCTTTGATTTTTCATTTGTGACAGGGTCTCAATAAGTTGCCCAAGCGGATTCTGAGCTTGCAGTCCTCCTGCCTCAGCCTCTCATGACGGCACTCCTGGCTCTCATATTTTGCTGATTTTCTTTTCGCTATAAGTTTTATGTTCAAGATTTGGTCTTGCAGATATCAGTAGCCCCGGTTTACTTTTCTTCACTGCTGTGTAGTACTCCATTGGGGGCCTGTATCGATGGCTATTTATCTAGTCCCCTACTGATGGACACCTAGGTTGCTTCCTGTGCTTCAGTTCTACGGTCAGTGTCGCAGTGAACATCCTTGAGCTGCCTCCTTTTGAAGCAGTCGTGACTTACTTAGAAAGACAAGGAGAACCTTTGGCAAAGAAGGAGGAATTCACAGAGCATCTCCTAAGGTCCAGGCACCACAGCCAGGATCTTGGCTGGGTCTAGGAGGGGCCTACGTACTGAAAGGCCCAGCCGTTTGGGAAGCTCTGGAAGTACTGACTCCAAACAGGCCAGGCTGTCACCCTGCTTTTCCCGGTTCCTGTTGTCCATCTCTCACATTTCGTGTCCTTGGAACCTTTTTTTTTTTTTTGGTACCGGAGATCGAACTCAGGTCCTTGAACTTGTGCGGTGTTCTTGGAACTTTAAGAGCAAGGATTCTGGAGTCAGTCTGCTAGGGCTTGTTTTCTCAGTTCATCACTTACCAGTTATATGGCCTTCCACAGCTACCCATGATGCTAGGCCTGGTGACACACACCTGTAATTTCAGCAGTCAGGAGGCTGAGGCAGGAGGATCATGAGCTCAAGATCAGCCTGGGCTACACAGTGAACTCCTGTCCCCAGGGGGAAAAAAAAGCATAATATTTGCATATAACATGCAGATCCTCCCATGTAATTTAAAGCATCTCTAGTTTCCTTATTCTTAATACAGTATAAATTCTATGTAAATAATTGTTATACAGTATTGTTTAGGGAATAATGGCAAGAAAGTCTGTGTATATTCAGTACAGATTAATTTTTTTAAAGTATTTTCAGCTAGACATGGTGGCTTGTTATCCCAACACTCTGGGAAACTGAGTCAGGAGAATCCCAAGTTCAAGTTTAGCCTGGGCAATTTAATGACTTAGTGGGATCCTCTCTCCAAAAAAAAAAAAAAAAAAAAAAAAAAAAGCGTGGGGGAGAAACCCCAAAAAAGGC